CGTACACCAGAATTGGTGAGTATAAAAGGAGGACAAACAAACCACCGAAGAATGTGCAATACGAAGCGACGGTCAAATACTCAGCGATGGCGCAACATGCATCCGATACGGGACTTAGAATAGATTTGGAGAACGTGGAAGTTTTACGGCGGAACTGTGATTCACACCACAGCGGCTGATCGCCGGATCGGTAAAAAGTACCAGGCATGATTGCGTGAATAGAATGGAGTCAAGCAGTTTTGTCGATGGTGGTTTCAGGCTCGAACTTCAGTTGGACCGTAGCGCGCTTTATCAAGAAACCTAGAGGTTTCATTGAAAACAACGAATATTACACACTTTTCGTAGGAAATGGTTTTTTTCTTTAGAAAGTGGGAAACTGGTACGGTGCTCGTTTGATGATCTCAAATTAGAATGAGACAGGTCGAGTATGTTGAAGAACTCCCAGGCACCTTATGAGCAGTGTTCAGTGAGGAAAATTGGCAACTTCGTGAGGAATAGTCAAGACGTTGGCCAATATTCGAAGAAATTGTTAGTTCCTTTCACTGAGTTCTCAGTGATTTAATTTATTGGTCAGTATATACTGTGAGGATCTTGGGTAAGGCTCCCATCGTGTAGAATCTTACGTCTCCAGCTTTTTTGTGGCACCCTCGAATCTAAAAACGGTAGTTTTCCGGATGGGGAAACACAACTTGAATCCCTCAACAGTTTTTGCACGTGTCTACCAATGCCTGTCAGAACGTAGATCTTGGCTACTGCGGAAGCCTTAATATAGGGATTCGTGTATTTGTTCAAAAGTGATTTGCAGAGGCTTTAGCGCTCATGGTGCTGGCCAGTAGAGTGATAGGATTGTGGTACTGATACTCGATCTTAGTTTTTAACAAACTGGGATTTGGTCTTTCGATCGCTGAATTTCCGTTTTCTACTTGGTGTACGTATTCCTTCATAATTCGTCTGTTTGGGTAACAAACGACTGTGATTCCGTTTCAGCTTCAGTGTCGTTTATCTTGTGTACTTCGACAGCCTTCAGCACTAGGTTAGGATGATCCAGTACCACTATAAATTCACAGCTTGTCTTACTGTTTTATCGTCCCTGACTTTCGATAGCACTTTGCTGTTGAGGAATGTCTTCATTCAATTTGTGGAATTGTGCAAAGTTTTCAGTAAGTTTGTGGTTACACTGTTCTCCTTTATGTTGCTGTGTTTGTAGTCTTCAGAAGATCATCATTTCACTTTCTTTACGAAGAAGGTGGTGAAATCCTTGTGCACAGTCTGAAGTTCCTACTGCGGAGAATTTGGGACGAAGGATACTGATTTGGAAGAAGCGCCTCGGTTATGATCCCAATCTTCAAAGGAACGCACGAACGTCATTCGCAAACCGTTGTGGCATCAGCCTGGTAGCCATAACATCCAAGGTGCTCTGTGGCATTATTTTTCGCAGGTGGATTGATTATTGGGAGAGACAGGTTCGTGGGCTAGGTTTCGTTCTGGCCGAGGATGCGTCGATGATATCTTCACCTTGACACAAGTTCTTCAACAGCGCTACCCTCAAACACCCCACGTTGATCGTTTTTCCTGGTCTGAAAGCTGCTTTCGATGCTGTCGATCATCAGAAACTTTGGTGGTGCCTGACCCTCAAGGATATCTTTTCTAGATTTCTATCCATTATAAGGGCACTGGATGTGAGCTCATGTTGGCGTCTACGGGTACAATGCAATGTCGCCTGAGTTCAGTATTTTCAGTGGTGTAAGAGAAGCTTGCCCTCTTTCGTGGTCCCGTGCTGCCTGAAACTTCTGTGCTTTCCTGTGGAACGTCTAGAGTCGGAATTCTCCCGGAATTTTCGGCCGCAGGACCATATTGCTCTGCCTGGTTCAGATCTTTCAAATTTGCAACCCATTTTAAATAACCTAGATAATTCTGTCTCATTGTTTGGTATGAACTTCATGCCTGTAAACTGGAGAGTGCTGCCGCAAGACTGGATGGCATCTAGCACAAACCTTATGCTTAAAGATGAGCCAATGGACAGGATCGGTAAATTTATTTGCCTGATCAGTTCGGGTGGATCGGGGAGACCAGCGCAGCTGTTGCTAATTTCCGACACTTATGGCGATGGTTTGATGTTAGTTTGCTCGTTTACGCTGCACCGGTGTAATCCACAGTGCTTTTTGGAGCAGAAATGTAGTCTCGACGCACAGAGGATGTACGGAAACGGCTGGGGTTTAAGGATAGATCTCTCCGAAAGACTGACTGATATCGGAATAGCAATACTGAAATAAGCTTGATGATTTTAAGAAGAACGAACTCTCCCGCGATGTATGGGCTACCCACCGTCTTCTATCTTGCAGTGCTCTTTTTACCCTACACTATCGAAACACTAACTACTAAACTCTGTTGGGTCGACAACCGCCGCCTCCCTGCATGGGGATTCAGGGACTTAACGCAGCAATGGTTAATGACAATCTCTAATATAGCTCAGTCACATAGTCAATGGCGCTTTTGATCAAAGCTTTCGCCTTCAGTGGGTAGCTCTTGCGTTCTCCATTCCTTCAGATAACTAGATTGATTCAGTGGGAACTAACTGATTATGCAGTCGCTCCTGATGCTTGACTATATCTTCCCATTCTCCCATTTTCCGATTAGAAGGAAACTGTAACAGCTTGTTATATGGTTTATGGCTGGTAGACTGAACTGAGATGAAACACTATAATTTATTTGATATAGGCTTGTGTGGATCAGGCAGCACTCGAGACTGTGACGTGAAATACCTCTTCCGGTTCTCACGTCCACACTTGTTTCCTTCCGCTTCAGTGATTTATCTACTGGCAGTTGTTTACAATTCAGTTGAATAATGTTTATCACACAAGAAGTACTGCCAAATGCAGTCGACAAGAGTTCTCACCAAACCAAATGTTACTTCTGATACGGGCATATCCTCGCTTCTGGAAATTTGTATTCTGAACTTCTTTTTCCTTGCTCGATCCGGTCATTCCAGGTGTATGCGGGGCACAGGATTGCTGGGATTGAGGCAATACGCCCACTGGGTTGCACATGTACATTCGGTTTGAGCCCAACTTAAGACTGTTTGGATTACTCTGATAATTTCTAGCGTTTGTGAAGCGCTATATTTACACACTTTAACTGCTCTTCATCGGCTTTTTGAGGTTATTTCTTCGTTTGGAACAGAGAAAATTCTGGGGTGTATCAGTTTTTACTGGCTCATATTTGTCTCCATGACTCGATTTAAGGATCGACTACCAGGAGGGTGTGCGTGTTTAGCATCTTCGTCCATCTACCAGCGGGAGCACATTCAAGCAGAGCAGACATGGTCATAGACTTCCACTACCCCCCCCCCAATCAGGTTTCGGCTGAGAGATCTATAAATGCAGTAGGAACAAACCTGATTGAACCCACCTACCGACCGGTGTCATCAGACGAAATCCAGTGTAATCATGACACTCTGTTACTCAGATTTCCTTTAGTGTGTTTGGCGGCGCAGCAGTTTACGTGAACCTCGTTGAAGATATAGTACTCAGATGGCTGGCCCAAGTTGCCAGCACAGTTTTCTGATGCTAGTAATTCAGGTCAGGAATTTCGGCCATGTTGATCATATCCTTACGTGAATATTGTGTGCAAACTCAGCTGTCGTTCTTACGCCTTCGGCCAACAGGTCGTACAGTACTACCCCTGTATTTGGAACGTTCGAGTTGCTACACCAGGATCACAATCCTTCGTTTCAAAGGGCCTAAGCGTGCCGCGAAGGCTGTGCCAGCATACAATGCAATACACTCATCACTGGAGTGAAGATCAACTCAATGTGTGCCAGTACTGAAGCTGCATACGATCGGTGGGTTAGGGGGGACTTCCGAAACAAGACCGCAACAGCCAGCCAGTTCACACAAATGACTATTTTGAATGTGTTCTGCTTACTGCAGATCCTGTAACACTATCCGGTTTTCAGAGGTTATTTTTGGTACCCTGCTTTTACACAAATTTTGAAACATCCTGTTTTTTGTCATCCAATAAACTCTTTCAAATCAAATTCGGGCAACCTGTATGAAACTTATTTACAGGAAAGGTCATCCAGTTTTAGAGGCTTAGTACTGATATCTGTAAATTTTCAACCTATTATTCTAATGCTAAACCTCATGGTCACAAATCCCAGTAGGTCGGGTGGCAAGAATGTCGTTACCCCCAATAGAGTTTAAGCTTTCGGGATAGTTTATTCTGTTCACAATGGGAAGGAATTCGTCTTGATACGTTGGCGTCGGTGGATTCAAAGATCACAAACTGGCAACTGGGTGCGAGAAAACCATTGAATCGGGACAGGAAACAATGAAGAATGAAGTATGATAATTTGGAGCCGTCGGCCGGCAGATATTCCCTTGTTTGCTGTCAGATAAATGCATAGTGTGAAACTTCCTGCTGTGACACTTGTAAAGCATGCGAATATACTTAGACAGCCCACCATCGGTTTCGCCCTTTTTCAGTCTTCTCAGGCAGGCTTAGTCTTGGAATTTCTACCAATCTTGCTTCGTACTCAAAACCTAAATTGCACGTGAGTAGACTAATGCCCCATGTACGAATCAGTTTGTCTTGATCCAAACTATCCCCTGGTGAGTCTCGCATCGAGAAAACTACGTGAATATCGTTCTAACTGAGACACGAGACTGCCCTTGGGTAACGCATTCAGTTGGAAAATGTAGATGAGAGATTTAGCTGAAGTATTTGAGCCTCGTGATGACACTAAATTTGCAAATGAGTTTTTATCCGTACAGTGAAACCGATGCTTTTCTGTAAGAAGCCATGCTCGCAAAATTAGTCCCGAATTTCGGACATGGCAAGGTCAGATGATTTTGGCAGGCAACAATGCGGTGGAAAATTTAATTGTAATACAAACATTACCGATTTCTCAGTTTCTGGGGTCTAAAAATGCATGCAACCCAGATAAATATTTATGGCCGACCGAACTGGACCTAGGGTACTTGCTTTGCAGAATATTACAGTCCTCACCCCGAGAAATTTCTACTCCCATGTTAAGTTTTGCTATCATTTGCAACAAACCTAGTGCTGAAGAACAGCAGAGTTTAGATCAGTTCATCACTAGAAATTTGGCCTGTCCGTTGCGTTATTATCTTTACGTATCCTCGTAGACTTCACTAATTTCTAACTGTGCTTTCTTGCAGGTCCCCTTAGGCGCCGGTGTTGCACTAGCGATGAAATACAGAAAACAAGAAAATGTTTGTGTCGACATGTACGGAGACGGTGCCGCCAATCAGGGACAGGTTTTTGAGGCTTTCAACCTGGCCAAGCTGTGGAAACTCCCAGTAATCTTCCTTTGCGAGAACAACAAATATGGTATGGGTACCGCGGATTGCCGATCCAGCGCCTGCATCGACTACTACACTCGTGCTTCTTACATACCTGGTTTATGGGTAAATCCATTTACTTTATACTCCACATTCCCTACTCACTGACTTGTTTTTCAGCACAGCATTTGCAGACAGAAACTCTTATGTATGGCGTGTAATTTCTTGTTTTGATCGTATCTTATCATGTCTCTAGTCCAGCATATAGGGGATACCACGAACTCCATCTTCCATCTATTTCACATCTTTCTGCTAGGTTGACTGTCGCTCCAAATGTGCCACTCCAAGTTAGGTGTGGAAAATAACACTTTTTGGCAAACAATTACCCGGTGTTTGCAATACGTAACCTAGTCGCCAGAACATCTGGTACTGCACACATTTTGTATTTCAATTCCCTGATGCTTAGCCGAACACTCGTTTTGTAACTGTTCTGTTGCGCGCTCGCTGACATCAGTCCACACAGTATATAGTTCTGAGACTATGGCTAACGGTAATCTTGATTTTCGCTGATCCCAGAGGCCATGACCCACAACCATAAAACCCTGATCTAAACTCTGTTCGAGAACCACATACCTCTTCTTGCAATGGTTCTCGCAAATTAAAAAAAACCCATCCGATCTTCGTCTGTCTCACTACCTTCAGAGTGATTCGGAGGTCTGGGTACCTAGTACCTCCTTGATATACAAGCGATCACCTTGTTTATCGTTGCAAAGCACATTCTATATTACAGGGTAACTCTCTGGTTACTTCATCTCAAAGCACCTCTTCGACGACGAGGATGATATTGTCCGCATATTCTGCACCGAAAAGCCTTTACTCCACATTCATGTGAACAATACGGTACCAAAGACATCTCAGGATTCGTCTCATTACCCTTTCGACCACAAAGTGGACTAGAAATCGATAAGATGGGCGTCCTTGCTGAACACCACTTTCTGAGTGAGGGCTTTTGGAGTGCTCCTCATACACCCACACATTTGTGATTATGAAAAGGCAGAAAATTTATTATAATCAGGAACTTCCGGAATATCTTCTTTTGATTAAACATGTTACGAAGAACAGACTGGCCAACAAGATCAAATTAATATGGGAGTCAAGGAATATGTTTGTGAGTACCTGTACGTCTCCGGTTGTTTTAGCACGTGGTGAATGCGATGATTTAGTCAACGCAAATTCCTCGAGGCCCAATTCCTACTTACTGCGTTCAAGTCAGTGTTTAATGGACCATTACAAGATGATGAGAGACAAGTGTCTTGAAATGTTTCTTTACAATAGGAGTCAGGTAGTCCCCTTAGATTTATCGGACTCATTGGGGAACACTTTCCATAGATTTAGCTGGTTTTCCTCGAAAAGGGTTCCTTTCTTCCAAAAAAGGAGCGAATAAAACGGATAAGCAGTAAATGAATACTTTAATCTTGAAAAATGTGGCAGAGCTGTCTTACAGACTAAGTGCTCGGTAGAGCCTGAGAAATAGCATACCGTCATAAGCAATAGGAGTTGCAGAACATTTCACTTCTACAATCAAGTGCTCTTATGCGGTTGGAGAATCCAAAGAAGTGCAGATGTCCACAAAAATTGCACCTAGTGCCTCACCCGAGCTATCGAGACATCCTTGTTTAGTGAATATCGTCGAGACAACTTGATTCTTGATTATCTCGCTGATGGGCTTTCAAAGATCGTTATACGAATGAACTGGGTATTCCTGAAGCATTCTCTGAATTATTCGCCTCTTCTGCTTGCTTAGGTTTCCGTGACCATTAGGCCTAACGGTTGACCCCCACCGGTTGACCCATTTAAGTTTCGTTGGATTCGGTTACAACCTGGACAGACAGGCACATTGCTCCGAGACCCAGGCAATGCCACTGTTCTATCTCATGTCCCTTGTTTGTACTTGCTCTACTGCATTGCAGGCGGAAATCCGAGTATAAAGGACGGGTCACATTTCACTCCTAATTAGCACCGTATGGTTGATCAGCTGGCGTAAAATCCAGAGGATTGTTCCGATGGGCTCGTTCAAGCCTGGGATTTGTGTTGCGAAATGTTCACGGAAGAAAAGAAGAAAAGGAAGACAACATTGTGTGATCTGATCCGATACACGAATTCCGAAAGGAGCGATAGCCAGTGAGTGATCCACACCATGGACAGCTGATGGTGATGATATCGATTTCAGTTCACGGCCTGTTCGCCCTTAAAGCGCACATGCGTAGAAATGCCACAAAGTAATTTCACAAATAACACTTTCCAATAGACGCAACGCACAATCACGAGAGAACATATTTTTCGCATGCCTCATCAGTAGTGTCCACCGTTACACTCGGACGGCATTTGTCATACTTATTTACCTCTATCTCAGAAAAGGAAGCCATTCCAGTCAACTAGGGTGAATCGATAACAATGATCTTAAAAATAGTGCTTGTTCTGAATGGCAGTCGAAGAGGTATCAGCTAATCGCCTATCATAACAAGATAGCGTCATTCCTTCCCCGTAGCGTTACAATGGCACAAGAAGGAAGGACCTGGGGAAAGCAATAGTCTGGTCATAAAGGGTTACATCGATCACACCTTTACATTAGAACAACGACATATCATTTCACGGTCTTAACTTCAACAATGCGTCCGATTCTGTCGCGCCGTTAGTTCTTCTGGGCATGCTTATACCCAAAGGTATGTCCCAGAAGTTTTAAATACTATACACCTCGTATTCAAAGCTGTAGGTGTGTGCGGTATGTGAGAAGCTTTTCAAATCCTCACCTGCAAGCAGTGGTTACTAACAACTGCTTTCTTTTCTTCACTGACTCCGTAATCGATGAAGCACCAAATCAGTCCCTGGGGTCTCCAAACCTCCTAGTGTACTATTCTTTACAGGAGATAACCCTATCAGTTTACAATATGCAGACAAAATCTCATTTTCGAAAAAGAGTAAAAAGTGTATGTATCCATTGCTATTTAACGGAGTCATCCCACCTACCATTCTGTGTTTAGAACGCTTAATGTAGAGTCAAGTTCTAGGACATGCTGCTTGCAATTCAAGGGGAGATACTGGAGGCCGTAGAGAACTTTCAGTATATTGAGAGTTACGTCAGTTGTGCTGGCACATCTCGAGAAATGAGGTTGAGTTTGCCGTTTTGCGCCATTTGTTACGTCAGAAAGGAATAGTTTTCAGCCTTAAAGATCGTGTTTGTCGGGTACAATGCAGGCTATGTGGTGACGACATACGATTTTTGTGGACGCATGAAATGGAACGTCTTCGGGCCCTTAGTTATCGATATATCGGAACCAGGTGTATGTGAAGCTCGCAGCAACAACTCCACAACAACGTATTTGGTGGGACTTTAAATATTCCACTTGTTTACTGGAATCAGGACAACGACCTGCGATGGCTCAGTAAGTGCTCAGTAAGGTTCCACGCATACCAACTTATCGCCCACCGGAAACAGCGCTCTTTCCACGCGAAAACTCATAGGGGCGCGAACCGCATGTCATAGCATCAGAGAATAGGAGATTATGAAAGTAGCGGGGCAAACTCATTTGCATACCAATTTTGTTTTGACTGGAGGCTCACCTAGAACCCAGCTAAATTTTTCGTTTATGATAGGAAAGGTTTGGGTGTTGTCCTTGATGTTCGCCTTCGAGGATAGGGTTCACGTGATCCTCGGGTTCAACTGGAGATACCATTAAATATGGCTACCAACCGCCAATCACTGGTATCAGTAGCATTCACCCCGTAAATTTTGATGAATAGATTTTAAGAGGTCTAGACATTTTGGTAGTCTATGGTTGGTTGGTTCTGGGTCGGTTTCTCTTCTTGTTCTTCTCCTCATTATAGGGTTTCAGTTCAAAAAGTAATCACGATTAGACACCGGTTTAACACCATCGTTCTCACGTCGACGCTGCTGTCAAATAAGGAGCTAGTGAATTTGCTACTTTTCGTTTGATAAGATAGCCACGATCCGTTTTGCTTGGACAAAATAACTTATTGAGTGCATGTTGGTGTGTGGGGAAATTCTCCTATCTCTGCCTGATGGATTCCACACCATGACATCTCATAGGCTGTAGTGATCATAGTGTGCCAACCGAAACCCTTAAGGTCCAAAGACAAGTCCTTTTAAACATGAAGCACGCACAAACTAATTTGCAGCTGTTTTCGAACCTTTTTGTTTCCACTTATTCGAACTTCCTAGGTGTTTTCGTTGAACGCTAACACTTAGATTTAATTAAACTAATCCCAATCGTTCAGCTGTAACAACTTTTTGGCGCCTAGCTGCAATGCCACCCGAAGGAAGTCTGAGGGCTGAGATACCGCCAGGTGGTCCAAGCCTTGACAGGATCAGTTGAGAGGCTAAGGTTGGATCGAACCACGGACCTTCCAGTCAGTAGGTTCGCACCTTAATCACTGAGCCACCTCGAAAGTGCCAACTAGTTTAATGCATTCTCGCTTAGATCGGTTGCCAGTGAGTTTTATCCAACCTAATAAACAATGTCGTACCGCGTCTTGTCGAGTTTGCAGCCACACAGTAGGTGAATCACATAGATCATAAGCAGAAAGACTCAGAAATCCCACGGCATCGTGTTTGACTGTACTCGCTTGTATTTACTAATAGAATGTGATGGACCACCTCCCAAGAACTCACTTCTAGCGAGGGTTCTGGATTAAAAATAGCATTTTCTTTCCTAGACGCTGGCTGGGCGTGTAGTGCCTGTTCTGATCACCTTAGCTTCATAATTTTTATTCGCTCCTCTAGCAGTTCTTCGTTACACAATCGTTGCATAAGTATCACTTCATTGTACGCATGCTTCCATCCTTCATAGCAATTACATAATGCGACTTTGTGGCTGATCGATGCGTTACAAACCGTCCGTTTTATTGGGGCTAGAATTGGAGTTTGTTTTCAAAATATTATTTATTAGAAGAGGATGGAATCCCAGGCACAGTGTTCCAGCCAGAATAAAATAGTTGGTGTATACTCAAGTACCATACCCTGAGGAACAGATTAAACCTATCAGTTTTTATGGCGAATGATCAAATATCGATTAGACATTTACTTTTCAGCTGGACTATTTCGTCCGTGATAGCCTGAATGACGTACCAGCTACTGTTGTGTCTGTTGATCTATCTTCCCATGAAGTGGCGTTGCACGCGGTTGCTGGCTGTTCTAGTGGTCCGACTAACATGTTGAGCGGATTTATTTGTTGGCTGCGCTAAAATTCCAACCTGGGCAATAAATTGAATGAACCCTGTATTAGTAGCCGTGAACGGTGAAGACGATCGTTACATCCCTTTAGTGTACAGCTTTGAAACGTTTGGCTGAATTTCTTTATGATGCAGATTATGCTGCCCCAGGCTAGCGTCAACTGAAGCTCCAAAAACTTCTGGCAACTGTAATGCTACGCGAACATGTAAAGTTCAGCGCATGCTGGTCAGCTATGCTACGTACATCCGCTTTTCATCAGTTAGCGGGTTGAACAAGCGAATTCCTTGTAGACAACTGTGCGACAGTACAAATACTTCCATGTTGTTGTGATGCGATTAACTTCTACGGTCAGATAATACTGTAAGGCGGGGGCTGAAACACAACTAACCTAGGGACTAAGCAGATGTGGACTTTGGTTTTGGCGAATAAACGTTGTGCGAACTTCCTGGGAATTCGTTCTATAGGCGCACACCTGGTTGGCTCGGACGCTGCTTGATTTCACGGATGTTCACTTTGGACAGTAACCATGCTTTGTAGGGTGTGCCTGCGTTTGTGAGCCTCCACTCATAACCTTCGAATAAAGCTTGCTTTCTTGAGGAAAGCAGATACGTGTGTTGTTACTGAAACGGCGTGCATATTTTGGCCTCCTTATGGTTGTCTATGAATTTCTGTTGAGTTGATACGTTCGGCATACATTCCATATTCGGGTATGTTACGAAGACGGCACGAATATGTACATCACAGGATAGAACACAGGTAGCTGAAAAGAATGCTGTGTTGACCACTTTCTATCAAAGGAAGCAGTTTAAGGCGTCGAATGCTGAAACCGGAAGTATACTTCTGTATTCAATGACAACTGAACTCTGTATATTTGAAAACTACTGCAGCCCTGCACCTTGTGGTTCATATAAGGTTGCTCCGAGTTCTAAATATCCCTAATTTCCACTCCGAGTTGTCAGGATGCCTGATACCCGATAATGTATGTATTGTCCTTCGTAAGAACCCGTGTTCCAGGCATACATCCAGAGATACCAGTGGCTATCAGCATGTATGATGCGTATGCATCGGTGCTAGGGTCTTCTATCCAGGGTACCCTGGGACATTAAAAGCCCGGTACTGCTTCTGTCAACGTTCTTTTCTCCACTTTTCAACGAGACATTATTAATTCACCTCTTTTAGTTGATTTGTGAGTGGGAAAACGGTTTGAAGCTCGATGCGCAGGTTAAATGATATTGAATAAAATCCCACAGTAGTGCACGAGTCAAGCCTGTCCTCTAAGTTATAACTACAGAATCTGATATTAGTAGTAAACCATCGCCACAACAGTCAGTTGGCAGCGCCACCCACGTTTCCATAAAAAATACCGAATCTCGAGTTAAGGGTGTGTACCGAGTCGAGTCGTGTGGTTTGAACCTAGACAAAGCTATCTGAGTTTGTCGCTTTCGACGAATTATTCAACGCACCACAATCTTTTCGGTGCATACTTTGGTGCCGGAAGTGCGTCCCAAGGAAGAGCTCGGATTATTCCACAAAAATCTAATCTATTATTCCAAAACCACAGATTTTTATTGTGGAAGGAAGAGTATATTCTGCAGTTTTTTTCACCTCGTTCTATTGGATATTCAAATGTATCCGAACATGATTAGTGGACTTATGAGATGTTGATCCTTGATGTTACCATTGACGAAAGATGACAATGAGGCAGCTTAAATCTGTGTATTAAGAACGGCTTTGGTTGCTGGCTACTATTACTAAGACGTTTGAGAAATCCCATCATGAAAAACCCTTGAAGTGAACTGCTCTCGCTGCTTCTCTGTAGTCCCGTATGTGCTATGGACTGAATCGTTTGGTTCAGCCGAGTTTTCAGTCTGGCAAGTGATGTCTCCTCACTTGCTTGCAGTTTGTTTGCAAGGAATCTGACCCGTGCTAACTCAAACATTGCTTGCATGCTGTGAAAAGATTCGTGGGATATTGACTTTAAGTACCATTCTTCCCCACGATTATTATTAGTGCTTCACTACATACAAACCACAGTCTGAATTTTCCGCGTACAGTATCAATAGCGTCTTGCTAATTCGTTTGTTTCAGGTCAATGGTATGGATGTCTTATCCGTTCGGGAGGCAATACGATTCTGCCGGGATTGGATTATGGAAGGCAATGGTCCCATTGTTTTTGAGGCAGAGACGTACCGTTACTTTGGGCACAGTATGAGTGACCCGGGAACGAGCTACCGCACTCGGGACGAAGTCGATCTCGTTCGAAAACAACGGGACCCGATTAACCTCTTCTGTCAAAGCGTGGTATCAGCGGGTTTGTTGACCGATGCCGAAATTAAGGTAAGCGGAAAGACTGTCAGCTCTCCACGTTCCTCCCCATGTTTTGACTTAAACTCTCCGTATTGTGACTGCCTTCGGCTGGGAAAATGTTATCTCAAAAGTGCATGAGTTGTGAGCTAGTATTTTTCAGTTAGACGACCTGATCATGTGTGGACACATCAGTTGCAACCTGTAAGCTATCAATATTCCTTATAAACAATACCCTGTCCGTGTGTTGCTCCGGGAAAGTTTTCCACTGCTGCAGCTGGAGCGCCACAGGGTCACCCAAGAACATCTGACATATCCGCTCGGCTCTGTCGACGAGCAACTGTACAACCGTACTACCCTTCGAATGAAGCACGAAGAGTGAGGTGCTGCTAGTTTATCCGTGCCTAAACAAAAGTAATTAGAACGCCAACATTGGGTTCAAATGCGATCAAGTGAACTCATTCTAACCTGTGCGTATTTTCAAGCCCTCGGGGAATAAGTCCTGCAGTTGAATTTGGCTATAGTGTTCATCAGCATTCCGTAAGACATGTCCTGCAGAAGCTAGATCGCGTCACTTGCATGCATTCGGACCACAAGAAACCACAACACATGAAGTTTACTAGAAATAGAGAAACCTGTAAATAAAGTAGGGAGCTCAGATCTGATGGATAAACCAACCCAGCCAGTACATCCTCAAACAGTAAATCAAAAGATCAGGTCAAACTCCATGGAGCCAGTCAAAAGAAAGAAGGCAGGAAAGCGCAGCTTATCGACCAGTTTAAAGAAAATTGAACCAACACCCACTGGAATCTGGAAACAGGCCAATCAAAACACAGAAGGGTTAATACTGAAACTAGAAGCTTTTGGAATTCAAGATAGCCAGGCCACAACGCCACAAATGTTATAAACAGACCGACCAAGAAAGCGACTGAAACTACCGGAGAGAGGCTATACCACAACCAAAAATAGAATGCAAAAATGTGGACCACAACGATAACAGATCTACAAGAAAGCTGCCCTCAGTCAGCCAGTCACTCAAAAAGCTATGAAGTGGTCTTTAAAGGCTGTTTTAGTGTGAGTAGGTGATTGGGCCATACCCACCTGAACACGCGCTAATGATGATATCCGGTTGGTGGCGAAACTACTGCAAACGATTTTCTAAGGTCTGTGAACAGATCAGCAGCCACCTGGTCAAAACATAAATGCACACAATCCATTGTCATTTCAATATACTACCAACGAGTTGGAATGTTTTGGCCCCACTGACCACATTCAGTTCATTTTCGTGGCGCTAGCTAATAAGCGTAACAAATGAATCTACCGTAAAATGCAGCGATCTTACAATTTGTGTGTACTACGGTAAATCGTAAAATATCAATTGGAGCCTGCATTCACCGGCAGCTGGTCTGATTATTCCAGCCATCACTGATCACACTCAAAAGTGATTTAAAACAGATCTCTCAACAACAGTTTATTTGCACGGCTGCTGTAGGAGGGCTCCCAGTTTGTAGGTGTGGGACTGGACCCCTCCAATCGAAAGACCTTCGGAGACTTCCAGTGTTTGGTCATCGGTTTCATCGGTGCGTAGCACAGCTGTTGAGAGTGTACAACAAGGTAGTGCGCACCAAGTTAAATTCATCAGTTTTATTTGGTTTTGCCCAACAACCGTCTACTGAAGATGGTGTTATTCCCTGTTCTGAGAGTTTGTTGGCGGAAGGTTCACGAAGGGCAGACGGTAATAAGGCAATGGGAACGAAAAAGGCTAACGTCAATCTGAGTGCTGTGGGAAAACGATGCTTTCTGGCTGGGGCCCACTGATCCTACTTACAGGTAATTTGGAACTCTGTAGGACATGGCACGTGACCGATCCCGTTGGTGTGCATGTTGTCATTTACTAGCTCGACTGGCCTGCTAAAGTTCGCCCGTCATGCACTAGACTTATATCAAATTAGCTTCGCAAAGGACGCTGTGTCAATCCCATTGACTCCCGGATGTGATTGTCCGAATGCTGTTCATGTATGCAGGCGCCTTATTCTTAGTTGTGTTTCCTTAAGGACATGGAGCGCATCACCAGGTTCGTCTGATATATGGCCTTCGGTGGCAAACAATGAAGTGGTTATGGTAACGTCCGAGAATAATGAAGCTACAGGACCTTCGCCCGTTGTTTTCCTAAGATGCATGCGTAGATCGTGGAGAGCTCAGATAACAGACATTCCCTGCGGTCCATCCACGGAATGAATACCATCCTTGATCCCAGTAACGGTTGGTTGATCAGCTACCGAAGACGCAAGAGCAACTCATTAACTATAAAGCGCAGATAGCTTCGGTTGTTTCAAAAGAGAGCATTTGTTTCGATAAATCACAGAAAACTAACAGTGTTTGTTACTTTCGTCCTCAGAATTTCGTAGTGCGATTCTGGGTGAACACCTTTGTGATGTATTTTGTTTCAGTGGACCATCGGGTAGCTTTACGTCGAAAACTACACTGAGCACATCGTTCTGGATACTTACCAATGTTTCCACCACTGGGTAGCCTCTAGAAATTGTCACATGCAAGAACACGGCTAGTTTCCGCTTACCTTCGAAATCCCAGTTTATCCATTTTTGAACCTTAGAATTTGTGCACGATGGAAACTCATGTGAAAAAATACTTGGAGATAAAACCATTCCCTATGTTGTGCATTCCATGATAAAGAGAGATGCAGTGCGTCTCCCGGTGCTTGTCTTATTAACGTCTATAGGTTTACATTCGCCAACCCATGCACCATATTAAAATAATTCAATAAATAAATGACCCTCAACTAGTGGACTGTAGAAGACAAATTCACATACATCTCTCCTGAAGTCTCGTGTGTATTTGTGAGCGAAGTTGAGATCATGGATCCCCTCTCATTTGCATGGATGGTTTATTTGTTGTTCCCGTCACTCTTCAGGAGATCAACGCCGTCGTAAAGAAGGAAGTTGCACAAGACAGTGATCAAGCTGAAACCAACCCTGAACCCGATGTTGAGCTGGCCTATGAACACGTACACAAACAACCGATACCCGGATTCCCAATTCGTGGATGTGACATCTTGGACGTGCACTGAAACAAACCTTTCAGCAGCATTGCTTTTATTGCTGTGTCACTGCACGTGATCCCCGTTATGTGTCGTTGACCGCGACTGTGTTGTTTATCAGAGCAGAGTACTTTGTCCGTTTAAATGAATAGCATAGTAAACGATAGTTGTCCTTCTCCTTTATCCCACTTATTTTCCCACTTAGTTCACAGGATTTACAATGAGTCAGAACTGGACCGAATCGAGCGGACGCGGGTAATATAACTCGTTAAATCGTAACAAATAAGCCAGTATGCCACATTCTCCGTCACGAAGAGACTGGATCTTACTGTGGTGTGGCGGTTTTTGTACCTCGGCGACCTATTGAGCTATACTGGTGGGTGTCCGCACGACACTCACAGAGTCTCTCATACCAGGTTGGTCAATGGTTAGAGGTCTGACGAACACAGTCTCCTGGTCCTCCAGGTTGGGGGTTGGAACATGTATGGCGACTTGTTCCGTAGAAAAGGTAATGCATTTGCATTTCCCGCCAAACACCGCCGCCTCGCGGTTAGGCTTTTGAGCCAAAGGCTTTGGTTGCGGACCCTAATCGTCCTCCTGTCTAGGTGTGGGCGCCCTGGCAGTATACCTGCCCACGTACAACCATAAACTGCACATACACAAATTTACTCATGCCACATCGGCCGTCGCGTGGTGCCATCAGCCGGGTCGCCTTACTTGCTGCATACAGCAGGGCGGGTAAGCGAAAACATGCTACTGCTGACGTCTCCCTTCTTACACTTTCACGTTTTCCGTCTTCCACCCTCCCCCGCCCAAATTTGAATACTTTATCCGCAGGTCCCAGCTCTAGGACTGACCGTTTTGCTCGCCCTGCATCACACTCAGCTGCAGCTTCTGCACGTCCGAGTTCAGTTACAACCCTAAACACTTCGAAGTCTGTTTTCAAACCCCGAAAGCCTGTCTACTTAGCCACTTTCAATGTTCGCACACTGAAGCAAGCAGGTCAACAGGTGGCTCTTGCGCGTACGCTGGATTCCCTCTGTATTGATGTATGTTGTCTGCCAGAAACAAGGACGCAGGACGCAAGTACTGTAATCGAACTGACTGCTCCCTCGCTCTCATCCAGGTTTCGACTGCGCACCTCTGGTGATGTAGAGGCCGCTGCAGCTGGATATGCTGGGGTGGGTATTGTATTGAGCGAATGAGCGGAAGCGTCTCTGCTTGATTGAATACCCGCTGATAGTCGCCTCTGTGCGGTTTGTTTGTCAATATTTGTGAGGGAATCTTGAGTAAGTGAGGTTCATCGCACTTTGTTTATTGTATCTGCTTACGCCCTAACCGACTGTAGCTCTGAATCTGCCGAGAGGTGCCCTTCTACAACATGATAAGAGCTCAGATATCGTTGTGGTTGCTGGTGATATGAACGCCCAGGTAGGTAGACTAAGCGCTGCTGAGGCCCGATTGGGTGGCTGTCTTGGTTTGGACACAAGACGCACGGACAACGGAGATCGGTTACTTCAGATGTGTGCCGATCGCACACTGTTCCGTAGCGGTACGAATTTCCAGAACAGCGGAAATCGCTTGACAACGTAGTGCCCACCATCAAACCAGCGCCGAATCCAAATAGACTACATCGCCGTCAGTTATCGGTGGCGAGGGTCGATTACCGCCTGCCGCTCCACCTGGAACACCAGCGTGGACTCCTACCATGCACTTGTACTCTGCTGCTTTTTATCGCGCTTTTCAGGTGTACGCAAAACGCGCACACCTCGCTTAGCCAGTGAGAAGCTAGTGAACCCAGAAGTCAAACGAAGCTATCAGAACCAGTTTCTCGAATGCCTGCCGGCCGGTAAGGTGTCAGACATAAACGGCCGCTGGGGAAAAATATCCAGAGCACTACTCAAAGCAGGAACGTCTGCTTGCGATACAACCCCACATTGACAAACTTCCGGGGCATTCCTTGATGGGCGAGCGTGTCGAGGATAACAGACCGTTCGACCGAGTCAAATGCGCCTTAGAAATCCTGGTCTCCACCACAACTCCGCCAAGCGCATCATCCGACGCCAGGTGAAACTGAGTGTCCGCGCAGACCGAGAAGCTTGGTGGACCCGAAAAACCGAAGAAATGGAGGATGCAAAGAATGCTGGAAACTCGCGCAAACTGTTCCACTTGATTCGTTCGACTGGTCCTCGGAAACCGCTTGTCAGTGAAACAATCAGGGACCAAAATGGCTCCCTGATATGCAGCAAAGCAGAACTTTTGGACCGCTGGGCATAGTACTTCGAGCAGCAGTTCAGCTGGCCACCCGCTACCCCCAATCCAGAAACCCGGCCTTCAACAGAAAGGTGGACCGTAAATATGAAGCCGCCTCAGTCTCCGAATGCACTGCTCTACGCAAGCGTCATTGTGCTGCTGGTCCTGATGACCTTCCGCCTGCTGTTTTCAAGGATGGCGGTGGATTCCTCAGTCAGTGCCTGTCTAGCCTATTTGGGTCTACCTTGGAGAAGGAGACCGTCCCAGACAATTGGAATGAATCGATAGTGGTACCCATTTCCAAAAAGCGTACTCGAAGTGAATGTAGTAACCACAGAGGCCTTAGTTCGACGCCTGTTGTGACAGGGCTTCTAGCGTCACTGATTCTTTGTCGTCTTTTGGTGGCACGCGAAGCCTTGACTCGTAAGAATCAAGTGGGATTTCGACCGGGTAGAGGCTGCGTTGACCACATCTTCACACTCCGACAGGTGTTAGAGCAACGCCACATGTACAGACGACCCACAATCATGGTATTCCTTGACTTCAAGGGTGCATTTGATTCTGTTGATCGATCAGTGCTGCACTTGCTCAACAGGATATGCCCCAGAAGTTTGTCAACCTAATCCGATCCCCTTATTCACATACTGCAGGGCGGGTGAGGGTGTATGGTGAGCTCTCCAAAAGCTTCCCTATAAAAAGTGGTTTCCGACAAGGATGTCCACTCTCCCCATTCTTATTCAACTTCGTCATTGATGAAATAATGAGGCGAACACTGGACGGTCTACAAAACCCAGGTGTTCAAACTGTTGCTGGTGAGAGCCTTGTCGATCTGGAGTACGTATATGATATCGCCCGCATCTTTGAGGACCATAGCGAAACACAAGCCCTGTTGAATAAACTGACCACCATCATTCCATCTTTGGCGTGCGCTTTGCGCCTTAAAAGTGCAAAGTCATGCTTCAGAATGTGCCATCTGCGAACATATCCCTTACAATTCAAGGAGAACCATTGGAGATTGTGGAGAACTTTACATACCTCGGCGGTTGTATTAGCTCAAATGGAAGTGCCCGATGAAGTCAGTGCATGATTCTCAAAGACTTGAATCACGTTTGCCAATTTGTGTCGCTTGTGGTGTCCAAGAGGTATCTCACATGATCTTGAGTGTCCTGTATACCAGGCTACAGCAAGGGATGTGTTGTTCTATGGGGGCGAGACATGGCCTCCGTGGACAGATGATGTGAGGCGTCTTTCAGGTTTCTGACCACCGATGCTTCAGGAGCGTGGCTGATTGTGGATGGCGTCAGCGTGTTAGTAACGAGGTGATTACAAAACGGGTATTTGGTTGTGCTGCAGGCACCTCAATCCGGGAAAACATCCAGCATCATCGACTGCGATGGCTCGGTCATGTGTTACGCGTGGCGAAACACCGTCTATCGAGACGAGTGTTGTTCTCCGTGCCTCCTTCAGGATGGCGCAAACCGCGATGTGGACAGCACATGACTCGGCAGAAAGGCGTGAAAGAGATCACTAAGAGTTTGAGTGTTGTTGGTGTTGTACGCCTCCCAGGATGGGGTCCCCGTGACCCCGTTTGTGCTTGGCTGGAGACGTTGCAAGAAATGGCGGCTAATCGATGTCAGTGGCGTTCGTGCTGTCAGTTTGTCTGGTTGAGCGGTTGGAGGTGTAGGCACCTCAGAATGCTTGACATTGGTCAGCACTGATAGAACTAGACGAACGGCAGTGAAGCATCAGTGCCAACACTGATGTTGCTGTCTTTGATGATGATGATGATGATGATGATGATGATGATGATGATGATGATGATGATGATGATGATGATGATGATGATGATGATGACATATTCTAATGGACGGCTGTCACGAACTGGCGATCCTTGAACAATATCACTCCCTATTTAGTATTCCAGAGTAAAAACCACATTTCTGCCAACTAATCATTTCCCACATTCCCCATTTGATAGATAGAAGAGTTAGAGTTGTATTTTCTGGAGGGATGTAAGACTGAATTCTGTGACAACCCTGCTTCGAGCTCCCCCACACGGAGAGGTATAGATTATTCGAAATGACTACCTGGTTCGGTGCATGCAAAAACGTTCTTCGGGAAACCCGTCACGTATTAGCGGTGTATTGTGTTTTTCAAGCCTATACTCATGGTTCTCATGGAAAATATAATGACCGACCTGCCAGCGAAATGATATTGAAAACGCTAGGACCGGAGCCCAAAAAGTAGAACGAAGCTATTTTCAGTCAAGTGGGAAAAGGGTGATGCTTAACGAAATACACTCATTTGCAAACAAACTTGGTTTTGCGAGAGACTCACCTGGAACCCAGATGAATTTCTTGTCTGTGATGTGAAACTTGTTTTTACTCGGGGGTTCTAAGCATTTTATAGAGCAGCTGACACCAGGACGATTGGAAACAATCCACCTCAATACAGCCATCACAGACTTATCCACATAATTAAGCAGCAACTCCTCGTGGTTTACATATTGAGTGCTGCAGACCATTTGAATCAGAAAATAAAGTCCTTCAGTGGAAAGGAAACTGGTAAAGCGGCCCAGATGTAAGCCATACCGTATTTGAATTCTTCCATTTGCTTCGTTTAGAGCAAGTTACTTTTCACAACTTTGTCAGGAAACGATTCACAGGCAGCAACCTTATGGAAACTTTGACACACTCACAAAGTTGCCCGAGTCTCTTAAATCCAGCTGAAGTGTCCAACTTTTCATTCTCGTACAGGATGCATCTGTGTGTACTGGAATCTTTGGTGAACTAAGGCGGTCAAAGACGATGACTTTCTCAAAACATTTACCGTATTGCGAACGGTGCGAACTAAATATGAAAAGTGGGTGCTCACAACGTCCACAAATGGTGGTGTGATACAGAAGGTTCTTCGGATGACCCGATACATATCCTTTCACACTTAACATTCAATAACGAAATTCCTCCCACTTGGTGATGAAGCTCTCAAAATCTTCCCTGTGGTATACCAACAGGCTAGTGTCTTGCGGCACAACTAGCCTTTTGTTTCTTCATCTGATCTAATCTACAAACTCGAGACCACATTTGTTTGTATGTGGGTTTCGCTCTAGCTGGGGCTCATACATAGCAGCAATCCGCGTTGCGTTTATTCGCCAGACATCAACGATTTATGATGAAAGATACCGTGACGCACGTTCAAAGGCTTCGAAAACACCTCAGTGGAGCATAGTACAACTACAGTACTTCCACGCACTAGCTGCTTTCTGTTCTTGCTAGAGGTATTCACTCCGTGACCATATACAAGGTTCTGCTGTTGTCATTTTCAGTCAGCAAAGTTGCACTCGTTTATGTATCACTTGTACGTACGCGAGGATGAAATACCACCAGCCGCTCACTTGTGCATTGGTCATTGTGGTGCGAAGTCGTCCTCGTATTATGTTGAGTGCGGAGACACTCCGGCTGTATGAATTATCGCGGATCGGTTACTCAATATTTCGATGAAGTCCCATCACTCATCACTTTTTCCGGTTAAGTCTCTGGACTTGAACCGTTCAAGTCATCTTGACGGTTTAAGAACACTTGGCATCATCAATCTGGTCCAAATAGGCATATAACGACGAAAAATACACGCCAGGTTACGCCTTGAGTGTCAACGGACATCCGGTACCTGGACAACAAATACCACATTAGCCAGGATAAACCAGTCAAATTCCGTATTACAGATGGGTGCATTTCATGGGGAGATATATGGTAGTCAACCACAGAAAAATGACATGAGAACGAAAGCAACGTTAGTCTTTTCAGGAGCAGTCATTAGATGGAGGAATTGGGGTCATAGTCTGACACGGAATCACGAAATTTCCTGGAGATGAATGGAGCAATTATGGAGACCAGTTCGAAACTTGTTATCCTTCGTGGTGCTGTGGGTTTAAGTTGGCCGGAGCAGAAAAACCGCAAGACGTCCCTTTCAGTTTTTGTCAGATTTTCACAAACAAATTCGTCTCAATCAGAGGATCTTGAACTACATTCAGTTTTTCACCCAATCACCCATATATGAGTACAGCTGGTCCCGTTTTAATTGCAAAACACAAAAGTGACGCCATTCCTCCTGAATGAAGAAAACGAAGAATATATCCAGGCGCTAATTACCAATATTACCCGGATGGGTCTTAGTTCCTGGTTGCTTACTACTTTTCAGGTATATTGATCCTTATTATCCATCCCAGCATCCATAAAGGAGGCAGAATCTGATTGTTCTGCAATGCGATTTACAAGTGAACTTTCTGCACTTGCTGCACGCATCGGTAACTTTAATGGCTCCACCTGAAGATTAGTTTTTGAATCTCCGCTTGTTCCGTTGTTCTTATTCCTGAGACTCACCTCGTTGACTCTGCTGTCAATTTTTTTTGTTCGAAGCAGCGTTCTTACACTGTCGGCATTGAAAAGTAGTGCATTTATGCGGTCACTTTGTGGTTCTAGTCTCGAACAAAATACAAGACCAGAAAATCACCCTTGTATCAGACATTCCACAGACCCTGCATTTTTCGCAACATGCGTTCGCATCTGTGGCTCGCTGCAGGACTAAGTTACGACTGGTGGAACTGTCTTAATGATGCAGTGTTCTCGACCGGCCACGTACTCGCGTCCGTCTATCTTGCACATAGATTAACCATCAGTGACACGCACCTGAGGTTAGCTTATGTGTTCCAATAAGGGTCTGAGCATACATTTGCTGAGCTATTTGGTACGTTTATTCGCCAAAGTCGTTCCGTAACATCATCACGCCAAACACATATGGGCGTCCACATCATTCGAATGACCATTCCAATCTGGGTTTGTTTTACTGGTCGTGTCGCCTAAGTACAATTTACCATTGTGAGTCATATCGTATGCCAGACAGTCACATTGTAAAGTGGACTACAGCCACTAGCATTATCAAACAAAAAAGCCGTATCACTTTATTATTATTCGATGCTAAGTGGCCTAATGTCCCCGTGTTGATAGTTGCGCGTTTCACTGAGCAATACATGTTTGAGGGGGAATAGATCGATACTAAAGTTCCATCGATTCAATTGAACAGAGAAGCTAGCCAAGATATCTTGGATTCAGCGCTTATCGTAGCTCTGGGGATCAATAAATATAGTCTTCGCGTTTGCGAAAGTAGGTCGTTCGGCTTTTGTTTTCGATTGCATCTAATTAGTATCATAATGATCTCAAACGGGAAAACACAGTCGAGCGGTACAGTAAAGAAGTGCGTAGTAATCTGGGTTGGAAAGATCAAGCGAATTTCATGATGAATGTGTTTTCGATATGTCCCAGTGACTTCAACTAAATGCACAAATTGTCTGGCGGGACAAGAGTGCTAATGACCTTCAACGAACGTGCAAAACACTTCATTATGTACAATGATAGTAAATAACCCATGTTGAATGGTATGGACACGAAGAGCACTGAATTCCAGTGCCAGCTATCCAGGTGGCCTATTTTCATTCAATGTTGGCTGTGGCGTACTTCTCTCCTCTTTAGAAAAACAAGTTGGAGTGACAGGATTTTCTTTCTTCATAGGATGACAAGATGTGGTAGGAAATACGTTTTCATTCGACACACATTAACCTTACATTATCTCCCGTTCGGGTGTGCTCGTCGTCATAACTCTGTTCTACAATAACAACAGTGTGATTAACGCGAGTTTTTAGACAACTGGAATGACGTATAGCGATTGTCACTGAACGCTGTCTGTGTGTTTTGTTTCATATTCCCGGAAATCAAGCAAGAAATAGCATTTCGTCCAGAAAAAAAGGTTTCATGGACGTGGTCGCCGGGATGCTGCCCCGAATGTCCCATTCTCGATCTCCCATTCTAATGGGAATACACTTCGATGTTATCGATCTACACAGGCGTACTCCGTCTGGAAGGACCGTTAAGGTAAACTTTTGCTTAAACCAAGAATGGGGAAAATATGCCTACGAAATATCGTGCAGAGCAGATTTCAAAACATTTGTTCTGGAGTCTCCCATTAGTGCAGCTTCTACATTAATTCATCCCAATATCATCGAAGTAAGCAAACAAACTGAAGAATGGTGAATTTTTCGAAAACTGGGCAGACCCGTTAGCATTAAAATGGACGATTGGGTAAAACCAAAAATTTAAAGTAAGTGGATTAAAGACAGTGGACTCGGTAGACTCCTCTGGATTCCAAAACTGCCTTCGCTCGCATAGGTAAAACGAAAAAACAGTGAAATAAATCTATTTGGTGGTGAGTGTGAACAACATACGCGATGAGGTTTACGGGAGGATTTCCTAGCAAGTGGTCGAGGGTGCGACTTCGCACGTGTGCGCGGGCAAGGCTAGGAATTACTGGTCTAAGGCAAGCAACATCCACCACTGATACCAATCACGCTGCGTGATCTACCGTGAGCGAAACTTCCTAAGGCGCATTAGCAACAAGGGTTACGGAAACACAATGNTTATCCACCCTCAAGAATGCAATGCTCATGAGTTCAGGGGGTAAACACAAATTGGCTGCGTTCGCATAAAGTTATAGTTTAAATCCCTCCCAACTTGTGACCTGCATTTCCTTGAAAAGTTACCAGCTGAAAAATGGAGTCAGATTTTACCTTTCAAATCCATATGGTTCCAATTGCGAGCTATTAGAGAGGGATGCACCCAAATGTTGACCAAATAACACCGATTACCTTGGGGTTATATCAGCCTATTTACCCAATGGCAGTACATCTCCGTCCAGAAGCCATGATTTAAACCCTAGAACAAGTTTTTTAAAAAGTACGGCAACACAAATAACCTGTTGGTCATTGGTTGAAATATGTACAGTAATTGACGCAGATGCCGCCGACAAAGGAAGTTTTTTTTTGGCCGATTAATCCCCAATAGAAGCCCGCCAAACCGAAGAGACCGAAATTCCCCAGTTATAGCAGGCATGATTTGAACACCGGATTGGGTACCCGACCACTGCTAACAGTAAAGTCAAGAGAACTTTCAGTGTTTAACTGCGTCAACGTATCGATAGTGTTCCGCGATTTAAGGCAAACCCCCCACGTTAGGCGATCTAGTTGCATCTGCAAGGCCAACTTGATTAGAACCATTTGTTCAGTAGAAGCTTTTCAACCTATAATAGCGGTTAGTTAAGGTTGGTGGAACCGAAACAAGGGATCCCTGATGATGAATAGAACAGCGGCTCCTTTATTATTCGATAGGGATAAATATGGATAAATAAATATAAACCATTCAAAGTAGGCAACTTATTCAAACTCAGAAAGCTAACTTCGAGTCAATAAAAATGACTATCTGATGAGCCACAAGAAGGGCGGTCGTGGGATGTAAATTTTCAGCAGCCTTGTGAACAGTACATCCCGTCTAGACAGACGTTCTCATATCGAAATTATCATATTCGACGTGCAACAATAACCGTCGATCCACAAGAAGTGTCTAAACTGGAAGCCCCTTACCGATACTCATCTATGCCGAATATACGTGGACTTGGGTTACCCATGCGTCGTCTGTTCTATGGTATGCAACGCTTGTCCACAAAATGTGGCAACTACAAACTTCCTTATAATTTGAATTATGCGAACGACGAAACAGAAATATAAAACAGTCCATCATCAAACAGTTTAAATGATTCCACTAAGATTAATCAATCACTAACAAAATGAGAAAAAAACAACCGATAACAACGCGAAGCAGGTGACTTATCAACAGATGGCGAGTACATCAAGATTTCGAGATAACAGGCATACCAAAATAGAACAAAGGTATCACATATTTGGGGGGAAAATGAGTCAGTAGGAAATGCCAAAAATCGACTAGTTGCAGCATGCGCAGCTATAAAGCAACACCAGTGCACTGTTCTTGGCACAAGAAGTGAGGGAGGTTACCTATCGATGGAGAATTGCGAGAAAAGAATGAAAGATAAAGGAAACAGTAAAAAAACCTGAGGAAAAAAAGATGGATCGGTTAAACGCGGCCAGATCGCACAGCGGGAAGAAAACAAAGATTGTAAAACACGTCCGCCTTCCAAAAGCTTGCTTCTTTCCAGCCGCACCAACCCTTGTCCAAGACAACTTTCAACTGTCCCGATGGGCCTGTGAAATGAGGGTCTATGATGAGGTACCGAGCAGCGGATGATGGTTTATCCAAGAACTCACCCCCGACAGGGGTGCACACGTCTGGTATTTGAACTCCGATAATCGTATGTGCCAGTTGACCACCACCAATCATTACGGGGCCTCCCCCAGTGGAAAAGTGCTGGGCAAGTACTGAAGCTGCTGTATTTCCCATGTCACAACCACGTGAAACGGGTAGGATGCGGCATGTAACACCGTAAAGCTCTTGCAAGCAGAAGCTAACCTATAAAAATAAAGAGAAAAATGAATAACCGCTGTTAACACGTGGGACGCAGTGGGTAACGTTCCACCTGATGCTTAGCAGTTAGCCGATTAAATAAGTAGGTGACAAGGTTGCCGCATGACAAGCAGTGAAACAATGTTGGAAGTTGGAAGGGGGCACAGTAACGTGTTTGATTAACAGAGCATACGAAAGAAATGCGGATATATAACATGTTACTTTCAGTCCAAAATGCATTCTTACATTATGCTACGAACGGCATGTGGCGAGTAACACTAAAACAAGGAGTGACTGGGATCCCCGCAGATAGCTCCAACCAAAACTGTGCCTAGCACATTCCACAAAGTTGAGATTGTTGTGGTAAAACCAAAGGTTCACACTCTCCAGTTGGTTCTTTGAAATTATGTCCTTGAGGCTCTTAAAAGACCGCTAAACCTGATGGCACACTTCTCTCACATAGACCATACAGTCCAAGAGCCACAGACCAGCCTGTAAAAAATGGGCGATTTTGAGGATGATTGTATGTGGAGGGACAACAAAATCATTTTGGTGTCGTTTTGTTCACAGCGCTGCGAACAAAGATTTCGCGCCTCTCCTTACCCCATAGTATGCAACAATCCATTTTGCGCATGAGTCCATATAAAGTTAAATGAAGTAATAGTGGTAATTCAGTTTCCGCAGCAACCGAAAATTCGATACCGGGTCAGCTCTATGTAAGCTAGGAAAATACGCAGACGAAGATTAAAGTGGCCTTCCCACAACCTAGTAATCGTGAGAGTAACAGCATTTCCGCGTCAAGCTTGAGCATGTCACTATCATCAGAATAATTACGGGCTACAAAGTCGAGTGCTTTGGCACGCGTTCACTTCTACCGGTCATTAGTAGCAAGAAAATGCGATGGTAATATATAGTAAACAAAGTGGTTGGAAAGATTATGGAATAACAGAAGATATAGAACCCACATCTTTCGCGTGCGAAGAACAGCGGTCTTTGACTACCACGCTAAACTGAATGCATTAGTTGGCTGGAGTGGAGTAGTGTACAGCTGAGATCGTATAAATTAATTCTCTTTTGGACCTACGAAAGTTGGAGCAATGCTGAACACACTCAGGCGATAAACAAGAGAAACAAGGTTGTAAGCCGGTACAAAGTAATGTGGGAAAATTAAACGACTGTACGTCACAAAACAACGAAGCGAAGCTTTCTGGATCGGAAATGCAGCGCAGAACCAGAAAACGCACCTCCAGAGAACCTATCCACTGCCGGGAGCCAACGAACTGTTTGGGTTTATCGCGTACACGGACCAGAGCAGACTGAATGTCAGTAAGTGATGGAATGGGACCAGGCATAATTTCTCCTTGCCACATTAACCAGGAAATGAGTGTTTGTAGGGACCGATAAGCACATCCCCAGTTTTTATCGTCCGTGTCATCCTGAAACGACAGAACCAAAAGAGGTGTACAAGCAACGTCGAAAACCATGTCAATAGTTGCGTGCACTGGTAAATACTCGGACCAGGAACATGAGCAGAGTACACACGTGCACGTTAAATGGGACTTTGCGGCAACGCATAATAATCCCAAGCGTTTAAAGGAATTGCTTGGCAACAATGAATGGGTTCCTTTCAATGAATACTCACTGGATTTCGGAACGCATAGAGAGTACTCACTTATCGGTACAGAGTTAAACAATGCTGAGAACGAAAACACACATGAAATCCGTCTATCAATACACACGAGGAAAAACAAGGAAATGAGTAAAAAGACCAATGAATCGAGGTTATTCTCGTCTGACAAACGGTAAAGGTAATTGTATCGTTTGGTTAATATGGCGGTTGGTTTGCCCTACCTCGGGTTTTACTGCGCCAAGTCAGCCAGTTTAGGCACGACAAATGCGCTCAAATGATATAAGGGTGTTTTTACATGCACACGGACAATCGTGAAGTGCAAAACATTATAGATACACCGATGTACCCCATATTTCGGAGGATAAAAGTGTTCTGAAATACCTTCAGCAGGCAGGATAGTGTAAACTACAGGGCTCTAGGTAGCGACAATGGTCTGTTAGCGTTTGAATTCAAACACAGTTATCGGTCGGGCATCCAAGCGGAATATTTTCTCTGTTCGTCTTGGGTTGAAAAAGCACATGCCGATATTGAAGACGCATTCCACAGGGCAACGCTTGACTCGATATGTTACAGTAGGCTCTAACGACGCCCTATGACTGTCGGTAGGTGAGTGGATAGAATTCATCAGATTCCGATTTGCAGGTGAGATTTAGGGGCAGCGCCACCGATCAATACTTGTGGAGTGACAACTTTGGTGCAGAAGATTCCGTGATGATGATGATAGGGTACTGATTAATCCTGATCAAAAATATCGCCGGTCGATAAGCCAGTACATCTGTTCACCCTTATTCGGGCGGTATTTGCATTTTTCACCAACGAATGACGACATGACTCTGAATTTTCTGGTGTTTCTATGCACATATCGTTCTGAACTCTCATGGTAACCTATCAACGGTTCTCCGTGGTGCTTTTTGATGTTCAATCGCTGATAGGCAGGTTTCAGCGATGCTACTGTCTCTAGAAATAGCTTTTACCGGCATGACCAGGTCTGCATTTGGTGTTCCGCATCTAGGACTGATGGACTGATGTCCAGTTCGTTCAGTCTTCAATGTTTTGAAGACTTTGATAGAAGTAGGCAAATATTTTATTTGAGCTCCAAGCGTTCGTGCGGAATTTTCGGCTGGAAAGCACACCCATGCATGCACTAAGACAGGTATCATAGGTAGAAACAAGCCATCGTGCGAGCACTCGGCCTGACACAACTTGGATCCGTTTGAAGCGTGGTCAACGTCAGGAAAAAACATCGCAACGGCGCGTCCGTGCCCTGAACCCACTCATCTACTTAAGCTAATGAGTCACAAACAGTAACGGTGACACTTAGCAGAAAAACTGAAAACGTAGCACAACTCGAGAATTACTAAAAAGAACGAACTCAGGTCTTCGAAAGCAATACAACTGGGCCATAGACCTGCTACTGTGCATAATGTTATTAGACGAACCATTTAAATGTCTTTAAGAGAATTGATTACTTGATTAATTAAAAAAGGGGGTTCGTTTCCCACAAAAACATCCTTTTCTATACCAATTTGGTTTCCACGGCAGAATCGCCCGAAGACAAGCTGAATCACTCGTTTATGATAGCCTCAACTGGATGTGCTGCACAAAGCCAACCTTCTGTTTCAGTACGTAAGATACTCGATAGATCGCAGTATACGTCAAACAATTTCTTATATGAAAATATACTGTGATATCTCCAATATCGTACGAACATGAGACGGCCTTCGTGCAGCGCATTCAGTTGAAAAATATCATGAGCGAAGGATTCGGCTGGGCTTCAGTCGAGTCCCCGCGAAAACTAAATTGGTGAATGTATTTGTCGAACATCGTGCAGTTTGAGTTCAAGAAGAAGAAACCTGTAGTGGGTTGCCGAAGAGTTCCCAGTAACCTTGTGAGGGGGTTCATTTCCGTTACGTATTCAGTCAGTTCGACTCGTCCAACCACCCACAGAACACTTACCAAGAGTAAACTTCTCCCAGAAACGAGAAACCGGGGAAAGTGTAGCCAACCTTCGGATGCAACGTCCTGGCCAACTTAGTTATGTTGAATCACACTGGTTCCCCGAAGAAGTGGGGAATTAGGATGCTGCGCACTGAGGGCAAAACTTTCGGTACAAGAGCACCACTGCTTGCACAACTGAGCCATGTTTGCCAGTGTTATTAACCGCCGATGCATGGAGTAAGGGTTTTCCATCCAGATAGGTAGCTGTTATCAACCTGAGTTTACTGGTTGGTGCCACGTGGCCACGTCAGACTCCGCCTGCTAGTCGTTTCCATTCAGCACACGGCTGAACAAAATGGCTCTGAGAGATACGCGACAGTTTGCCATGTATCCTGCACATGCTGAAACAGCGCTACCTACGAGATATGATCAGTTCGTGCGTCGCGGGAGTACCTACTTCTCAAACCCATTTGGTGTATCTTAGCATTGTAAATTTAGTGTTTTCAGCAGTTGCGGCACGGAGACAGAGAAAGGAGGATCAAACACCGTAAATTTTCTCACATATCATGTGCGTATGTGTCATCTTCCTGATACGCGAAGCAGTACGGATCGAAATGCTCTGGTGCCTTTTCTTTGACATAATCATCATCGACAGTAAAACAAAAGCACTAAATGCTGATACAACTGAGAGCTGTCCTATCGTGTACGGCAGTTAAGCATTAGCATCTATTATTTTAGTGGTAAACAGCAAAAAGAGGAAGGGTGGAGACTCACTACTAACGGCCTAAAACACACAGGGCACTTATACCTTGACAGCAACAAGGTAAAGGCACCCGAGCATCATATGACAGTAAGTCATCAGTTGGACATTTCTAAACCTCGCTCAACAGAAGACGGCCATACAACGACAGTCATGTTTTGGCTAGGCAGAAAGTGGAACCATACTCGCAGGTGTGTCGATTACTCTCCAAGTTGTATAGGGTTTCTAACTACATGCACGGGATATCAACAAGGAAAGCGCGAAAACCCCAAAGCACTCAGTTTGACAGTAGCCGCCTTTGATTCGCGTTACCAAGCTATAGTTTGACCCCTATGAGACTTTTCTAACAAGGGGTTGGAGTAAAAAACTGCACTTTCCTTGCTAGAAAGTAGTAAGGCTTACATAATACATGTTCAAACCAACCCATCCTGATGAGTTCTGCTGACTACTTGTATGACTAGGATTCAAACGAAGTACTCGTTAACGCACCAACTAACTGCGAACCCAGTGCAGCCAGATAACGCCTGCCATACTGCCAAGGTATCGATGATCAAACGTTTGAATCCACCTAATGTTAGCGGATCGGAGGGGCTAAAGTTCCCAATCACTGAGTTAAACTACTATTTCAGTTGTCTTGTACTCACGGCCATTTAGATTCAGTGAAATCTGTTTCTCAGGTCATTAATGTCGCGTCTGAATAATGCGTGCATTGGCTCCTGCCGTCGGTCACGGTTTAACCCGAGCAATAAACTCAAGTTCCTTCCCTTGACTTGAAGATGCAAAACGCACACAAAAACAGGGGTCACAGCCGAAATTCTATGTCAGGCGAGCTGCACAGACTGATGATCCTCATGCAAAGAAACGGTGTCGCCCGCACAGCTCAAGAAGACTAGTCTTTCTCCTGATGTAGTTACAACACAAATATTCCCGATCCAGTGGAGTCTGCATTCTACGAGGATGCTCTGACTAATCCGACTAGTTGCAGGAAGGCCCCACAGTTCGTCATAAACCCCTACATGATCGAAAATGTGGCGGTAGAGAAAATTGGTTTATATGTAACATGAAACTTATAAAATTTCTGGAGACTCTCTGAAGAAGACCATTATAAACGAGAAAATCTGTTGAATTTTTGTTGAGCTTTCCGTCAGAACCAAGTTCGATTGCAAATGAGAGCATTTAACAAAGAGATAATGAGTGTTTATTTGAAGACTTCGGAGCATTCCTCTTCGGTCAAAAAACATATCTACATAGGGAGTCAAAGGCTGCCTAGAAGATAAAGAGGACCGCAATTATTGGGTGACTATGTATGGCGTTGCTCAAGCATCAGACGTAATGTGATCAATGTGAACATCATTGAAATCAGTAGCCACGTTATGATGGGCGTCAGGGTAATACCTCCATCGTTGAAACAGTCACTTCGTGTATCTTCTTTGAATACATATGAAGATTGACTGGCCCCAATCGGCTCGAAATTGTCCCTGCTTCCGAGTAGGTTCAAATAATCCAGTTAACGCGAAAGAGACAGATGGAGCACCGTTCACAAGTAGTGTCCGTGAGCCTGATGAGGGCCTGTGGCCGGACCTTAACTCATACACCATGGTTCGATCCGAGTTGGTCGGGTGAATGATATAGGCATACAAGCTGATGGCCAAATTTATTGTTGAGAACGTTCAGTCCGCTGGTCTAGACTGGCTTTGTCATACATTAGGTTTTCCGAACTATTTTTGGTTAGGTCACTGACAGGCAGTGTCATGGGTGCTATCGTGGCGATTATCCGGAACGACCAATGTGACATCCCGGCTGCACCAGTTTCTTCTGTTCTTTGAGTTTGTTGGTCCCACCGCGCCACCCTATCAACGGACAGACTTCGCCTGAATTGACGCCTAACAGACCGTCAAGCCAGATTATGCTGCGGTCTCGAAGCGTCACGACTTCCAGTATTAAAATGTGGCAGTAGCTGTAGTGAAATTCAGTGGTTAATATGTGCAGGCTCCAAAAAACCATTAGTTATGTCACGTATAGCGGTTAGTATATTATGATAGTTACGACTGATGTATTCTGAAAAGGCCACTTTTAACACACCTCATAGGTCTTAGTGTGTCTGCTTGATTCGCGGCTCGGAAAGCTTTCCGGATGCTAAAACCAACATGTGTAATCCAAAATGACTGGTATTTGAATATCCAGCTAACGAGTGTTTGATTGATTTGGTTTCGCGAAGGATGCCCGGTTGCGGAAAGACGTCCACCATGCCCAGACCCAGTATGGGGAACGACTAGTGATTACCAGAGTTATGGACGACCTTCATTATTGTCATTATCTTTTGTGTCTAAACTAAACTTGCCACATCGCACCACGCAGGAACTGAGGCACTCTACTAGCGTACCGAAATCCCTTGAAGTTAGTGATGCAGCTGAGCTTTTCATGGTGGATAAAAGCGAGGATACTTCATGAGGTCTGTCCTACGGTTGATTTGTGAATGAACAGAGACCATAAACAAACAGCGATTGGTATTTCGACAGGTTTGAGTTCTTGTGGACGTTGATGAATGAGGGGAAGGTACCTAGTCAAACAGGGGAGCTCCCAACCAATGCTGCTAAACCAGCTGAGGCAGCTAAGGAGTCGTCTGAAGCTCGTAGTCGATAGAGTCTAGACAGCAGAGGTGCCGTAATCCGGATAAGTATACTCTGATCTTGTATTCCGGTTTCAGAAACGCAGCCAGTGTCTACCGGCAAAGTATCAAGAGTTCGCGCAAGAACAGCTTGTTGGCCAGTTTCCTCAAGTCTTGAAATAAAAGTTTACAATAATAACAGAAGAACGGCGAAAGAAGTGAGAGATGGTGTGCGGTAATTCACTTCCTGTGTACCTGGTTGAGATGCCCACAGCCTGACTCTACGAACGATCATCAAGTGGGGCGGGAGGACTGTTAAAAGGAGATACTGATGGAAGCAGTCGATATTCGCATGCTTGTGCTTATTTTTCCTGCTGTATGTGGCGAATCAGTCGGGACGGTTAATATCGTATGGTGACTGGTACCGAATGTCGTTGAATTAGTCTGTGCAATTCACAGCTGTACGTGCGCTCAGATGCTTCCAAGGCATCTAAGCCTTGACAGGGGGATGATAGTAATTTTCAACCAGAGTCTTTGGCTCAAAAGCCTGCTCATGAGACATAAATAGTTGGCATAAGATTAGGTCGGTACTCTAATATTATCATTTATTTTTTAACATAAAAAGGGAATGCAAATGGCTACATGAATTTCGACCCCAAACCGGGAGGGTCAGTAGACTGTGTTCACCAGACTTCTATCCACCAACTCATACGGCAAGATAAGCTTTTCGCATTTCGTATAGGCACTCTCCGGTAAAGCTCACCCTAACGATAATCCATCGGAACTTATAAGAATGCTCAGGTAAATAAACTTACTTACCATTTCAACTAGTTGGTATGCAAGCATGTTCAGGTTTAGTCCTACAGAGTACCCTAAACTTCGCAGGCGTGAAGTAAACCCTTAAATTGTAGCAGAATCACTTAGGTTATTGAGAATGGATCGTATCTCCAAACGACCTGAACCACAGGGTAATATTGTATGCGTACTCAACTTCTGCGAGCCAACGCCCCGGAGATAATTTGCCCCTCCAGATTTCGCAGATAGAAAAGACTGAAGAAGCTGAGGATGAATGTTGTGAGGAGAGTCTTACCTTAGACAGCTGGTCGTGGTGAAGTTGATCGAAAACTTACTGTATACCGGTACAAATCCATTGGAGTTAGAGTAGTGACTTTATAAGGGCGAAAAGGTTAGAGTGGATACCACTAGTCTCCAGACACAGCCATAGTTTGTGGCGATTCAAGAAAAACAACCAGTGTTGGACGTAAAAATGAGTGATGCTGTTCAAGCATCTGTACAAAGAGATGATAAATGCACCATTAGCGATCCGACACAGCTTGACATCCGAAAATTTGCCCCATTAGGTAGTCAACTAATTTGTGCACAACGATACCGGAGATCGCCTTGGATGTCACGACCAACAGAGTGGCTGCACGATGTTTTTCGTCATTGTTGGAATAACTGTCGAACTGTGGCATTTAGGTGGTATTTTGTTTCTATTCCAGATGATTTGTATAGGTCGTGAAAGTGTCTACCAAAGCTTCACCATCTTTGAGAAGTGCAGGGTTTAATTCCTCCGGTCTAAGTACCTCACCATCTCGAATGAACGGCGGTCCTTGCAGGATTTCTGTTCGTGACCAGCGACCGGCGTCAACATTTCGTTCATGTTCACTGGGTCCTTTAAGATACTGTTTTCAAGGAGGCCAGCTGAGCTGCCCCAGTAAGTGTTCAGTCCACCGCTCGAGAGATGATCTCGCCCAAGATCTCAAGAGACGAACTGACACCAATTTTATTCTTTTCAGTTGAGCTGGACAACTGAAATCGAGCGAAGCTGCTTCACGTAGCGAAACCCCTCTACATCCCCTGAAGTTTTTCAAACCAACAGGGTTCTGTAATTCACTAGGCTATACCCGATGTTCGACGGACCTGCACGCGCTATCGTAGCTGCTGATTGCTCGCATATTTTTTTCTGATATCGCTCAGAGTTGCCGCTGTTGACGATATCCAATGTTGATTTATTCGATCCGGAGGGCTTGGGCGGACAGTTCTAAAAGCTGAAAACACAGCTACTTTCATTATCTTCCATTCATCCGCGAACCAAGCAACATCGCCAGCGTAACCGTCCGTTCACAGCAACTGTTCTGCCAGGTCAGTTCAATATTGTCGAGCCACATAAGCTCGGTGTAGTTGGGGTTTGAAGGCTCTCGCATGAGTCTGCGCGATTGTAAGGGAAAGCGAACTTGTATGCTTGCATGACCAGAATCAAGCTGGTTACCACAGAGGGTACTAATTAAATATTTCAACCCGTAACTGAAGATGCACGATTTAACTGATATCATGTCTGGCTTGAGGTTGGTAAACCCCAAGCAACCCGGCGTGGGCGCTCCTACTGGAGATTCGTAATGACTAGAAATGTATGATGTTCGACACCGAACTGTACTGTGGCGTTGGTACCTACCGCATTATACTAAGTTGTGAGGAAAGGCAGTTGCACGGCAGCAAAGCGCCAGTTTAATTGCCGGAGTTACATAAACACCGCGGCATGAAACCCAACATAAATAGAGGAGCTTCTTTGCGCGTGACCTGTCTTCCAAGCATTATTAGCATCATGTGCACTACATTCCCCATCAACAGCGTTCTCAGCAAATCCCTGAATCAGCGGTTTCAAGACGCGCGTGTTAGCACACGTGCAGAAATCTGACACGGAAGTCTATGAGACCGTTGAGTTCCGTAAGACAGTTCACATCTACCATGAAGTGATTCCGGGACGGACTAGGTTTGCAATATATTCGACGAGACTGAAAAAGTAAAGCTTTCTGGTGCAAATCTGCTGCGGAAGATAAGCCATATCGTCCTGCAGGTTGCAACACCACATACTGGCGGTAGGTGAAATAGGCAGACAACTATGACCTTGCAACTAGTAGTCACTTTGTATAGTGATGAAAAGAGACAGCACAAACAAGTACACTTACAGCGCGTTGTTTCTTACCTGTAAGTAGTGTTTATAGGTGTAACGACCTTTAACTACATAGGCTGTACCGCGACCAGGTGCCGGAGGTTTCAAGTGCTCGTGGGGGCAGACTAGGAGTTCGTCATTTGGGCCAAGCCACTGTGCGAGGTAGGGAACTGGGAGAATCGCCTGCCCACGTCTGAGCAATGGTACATCCAGAGGAAGATTGAGTTCTGAAAAAGCATAATCCATTGGGCATGAGACAAATCCACTGCAAATATAACCTAGACACTTGTTCAATCTACTATATTGTGTCTTAATCCTCCCCGATTCACTCCAATTTGAAAGCGGAATAACTGGTATGATATTCACATATCAGCAACAAACGAAGCTCAAAGCAAAAACCAAAATCTTCCAGTGGAAAGAAACCGAATTCTGTGTCATCTGATAAGGGTGCCGAAGGCAGCTCGCGAAGGAAAACCAGGCATATGTGAGCAAATTATAACGAAACAACCGAAGAATTGAAAACTAAATTGTCTTCCTTCGGGCACACTGTCAACAGTACAGACTTTATACCATCACATTTAATAAACTGCGTGGTGCTTTAAACTGCTAGAAGGTACCAGGGTGGAGTGGTATAGTTGTGTTGTTGTGAGTAATGTTACATTAAGGAAGTGAGTGTTCATCATATACAGCGAAATGACTCAGTGGTTAGAGCGCGAATTTACTGACCGGAAGGTCCGTGGTTCGAACCCGACCTCTGCCTTTAGGCTCATCCTCTCTAGGCTTGGGAAACCTGGTAGTATCTCAGTCCTCGTGCTCCCTTCGGGTGGCATGGTACCGAAAGGGTGTTACGGCTTTGTTCAATGTACAGCTTCCTTAGAGTTCAGTCTATGGCCTGACCCGTGTAGATATCACAAATAAACACATTTGCTATTTCCACTCTATCAACGCAGACCCGCAGAATGAATACCAAAAATGAAATAAACTTCGACAAGCGATCAACCTCACCTTTATGAACGGCTTGACGGAAAACAAACTCCAGCTCTTCTGAAATTTTCTTCGCGTAGAATATGGTCACCAAATTCGAATGGAGTATGTAATGGTGTGCACGAACACCTTTCGGTGGATGGCCGTTGGAATCCCAGTATTGATGAACTGCTCGCGAGAAATGATCAAGATATTCCACTGCAGAATCACACAACACACTGTGAAGAGTACCAACCTTTGACCTAGCTACGGGAAAGGGACAGAGGACGTCCAGCTCTATGCTTAACTTCATGGAACGTGAACGAGTGGGTGAGATCTGAATGGTCGGCGTGAATGGGTGCGGATCCAAACCATAAGTAAACCATAGAGATAATGTGGGAATATTCGTAGGAGAATAGTGTGATCTGATTGACTTAGCTAAGGCTAATTCAGCGCTTTCATCCAATCTTGACGTGAGATAAACACATTCGTAGGAAAAGATACTTGAGAGGATTGCGGTTTTTAAACACTGCATGTAACGATCAAAATCCTCACGTGAGCTAACGGTTACACAAATCGGCGGTGTGCTGCCAATCCGGACACAACAATCCTCAGTCGAATTTTCGAACCTCTTTGTATAGAAAACTGGCATTGTTTTGTGAATGGTACGTGGAAGGCAGGAAGGAGTATGTTTCCGTGAGAAAAGGTCACTGAAAAAAATGAAAATAATGAAATAAGAAAATTATAGTTGCATAATATTCTGACCGTGTTTCGGTGGATATGAACGATAGCGTCCATGAATGTGAACGTTGGCTCTTGCAATAAGTTGGAAGGTGCGAGTACATAGCGCACCAACAACCGAAACACTAGCTACAGTTTAGCAGCTGTGGCCATACTCGTGGCCTTGAAAGGCAGCACCACATACCAGATCACTGTTTCTTTAAATATTACTGCATTCAACGTGCGATCACAAAGGGAAGTCAGCCAACGGGCCAAACTGAATAAAGTTCTCGAGTCCCTAAGTACTAATGTTTCATCAAGTTGAAAGTAGATTCCGCAGCTCGATTACAGTTGTTGATTTGCGTCCATTGGTACACAACTTTTACTAAACGTAAAAGCCGTCTCTGCCAATGGATTCGATTATCTTGGCGGTCCGACGGACTTTGTGTCGCAAATATCATAAGTGTGAAATTTCCCTTAATCGTATCCTGTTGGAAACCTGTCGTAAGACTTCGATGTTCAATAGAAGCTCCATGACTAGCTTTTACCGTAGCCTCGTACGCCCAACGACCTGTGGCACCAAAGATGACTTCAGCCCGTCGAAGAGGTCATGCAGTGTTTATGCTGCAATACCGACTGGAGATATGAATTCACGGGCCAAAAGACTCAGCTAAGAACAGCTTAAGCGCACAACATTCGTTTCGTACCCTTTATACCAATTGCTAAAATCCCCTTGGATTTCCGGTAGGTTAACCACTGACGGTCCTCCCGCTACCCAGCTGTGAACACAGCAGCCGCGTAGCAAGCGAAGTTTCAACGACAGCTATATGAGTGCTTATATGTCTGGAACAAGTATTGATTAGGAAACTGCGAGAAAAGTTAATAGTAGGTTGAGGCAGAACTCCAGCTGCCTTGGAAAGCATCGAGTAAATGGGCCGATACTAGGAATAACAGGGTGCCAAAGCTGTAAAGCTTTTGGCCATTCAGTGGCTTACTCCGTTCTACGTTCGGAAGTCATCGACTCAGGACACCTTGGCGGACTCAGGAAAATTTGATCCAGCTGATACTATGGTTGTGAGGATTCTGGATTTCTGAAAAGCCTCCGGGCTCCAGTGGACTCATATTCGGTGGCTGATAAATGGGGCGTTGGTCGCAAATAAGTGCTATCTAGACAGCGAGTATAGCTTTAGTTGCGTCGCTATCACATGGTACTACGTGAAAAACAATATGGCTAAATGGCAAAGAGCAAGCAAGGTTAGTGGATGACTAGAAACAGATAACAGACTCAACAAGGAGGAAGAACGAAAATGGAAGGATATTATCGAATCTTAAAAATCATACTCATCGACAGCGCAATATCTTCTTCAACACAGGTGCTATTTCGCCGTACAACCATAATGTGTCCGGAAGCCATATCGTGAAAAATTGGATAGAAGTGATTGGGTGAAGGACCTAATGGTTACTTATTATAACCCCTTTCAGATGCCTACACCTTCACACTCATTCAGACAATCTGGACAGAAACTGACAACAGGAACGTCATTCGCATGCATGATGATGATGATCGCATGTATTAGCAAACATATCTTGAAGCATCCCCGACTACGCACAGCGGTGGTCAAACGGACTCCAACCAGTGCCCAAAATTTTCGAAATCACTTTCACACTCCACTGCCGGATCAAAGGTTGGTCACCTCTCTACTTATAGCACTCTTTTTGTCGAACATGTGCTTCCGTGTGTGCTATGTATGACATAAGCAATGCAACTTTCGCTGCTGCAAACCTTTCTCGGCTGAATTCTCTGCAGTAAAACCGAATAGCCGTTTCCAAATTTTCTCGTTGCAGTCTCGCTAGCACTAGATTATGCAAGCTATGTTTATGAGACAATGGTTGCCGAAGACCCGTAGACGTTTCATTTCGGCTGCTCGTAGAGGCCGCATCACAGAGCCAAACAACAGAACAGCTCACACTGTATACACAGATATACACGTCCCTTGAAATTCGGGAGTATGCCGCTTTGCCACCATAGCTGTCTCAAATTAGCAGACATGACCCGGGGCTGAAGATTCGTCCATTAAATTAGTGCCATACTCTAGTCCGAACTTATACAGATTCTAAGATGCGTAAAATGCCCCCAAACCCCGAAGGTCCCCCTGGAGCACAGGAGCACGACATCACACACCAGAGATGCAAAAGGCACGGCAAGCCTGTTCAGCTAAAACCACCTGTGCCGTCGTTTCTTCTCCAAAGATGAGAATGATGTCCTCGGTATACTCCAGGTTAATAGAGTTTTCGTTCATTGAGGACCAGGATTTTGAAGACCTGCTAAGCACTCGTCCTATTGTCTCATCGATCACGAAATCGAATAGGTATGAACAAAGTGGGCATATTTGTTGCACACCACCCTTTAAAGAGCCCCGATAAACCTTACATACCCACCGATTTCATGAGAGAAATAGCCTATGACACTGACGAAATCCTAAGTCATTCCCAACTGAGCACGCGTGTTAAGGAGCACAAAGTCAAATGGCGTTAGAAGTCCAGGAAAATTAAATCTGTGAGTGGCTCATTGGTAGGTATTCCTGGTATATGATGAAGTGGAGTTGCAGTCAATGCAACAGCTTCCATGCCGAAATCCAGCATAATACCACCACAAGGCGACGAAGAACATGTGACGCCGAGTCATATTACAAATGGAGTCAAGCCGACTCCTTTGTGATTAATGAATTTGCCACGATCCCTCTTTCAAAAATGCACACCACTACCGATACTCGCCAGTATCTTTCTTCTTAACCAAGGCGAGAATCAAGCGGCACCGTGTCACGGGCGAAATACTCTTTACTATGAGAGGATGCAATTTTCTCGTTCTAGTACGAATCGGTTACATACCATGAAATTGTATTAACTTCGACTGTAGTCTGACAGATGAGGTCAAAGCACGAATCTGCAGGGATCGGGTAGCGTTTGCTAATCTGAGACATCTATAGAGGCAAAACAGTATACCCCTGAATCGTGGGGGACATGTGTACCAGGCTATAGTACGGGCTGTTTTGTTGTATGGCCGTGGGACCTGGCCTGCTCTAGCAGCAGAACTGAGACGTCTACAAGCCTTCGATAACTGAACCATAGCTGGTGTGGGTTGGTGCCGGCGAACCCGTAACGTGGCAATTGGAAAGCAAGCTTTCGGTTGCGCAATTAACGTGTCCAGTACAAGTTGCGTTGGTTGTGTCATGTACTGTACATACCCAACCATCGTTCGTCGAAAACAGTGCAATTTTTCGTGCCCATTTCCGTGCGGCGGATGCAAAGGTGGCTAACCCTTAGCCTGGCAGAGAGGTATTAAAGAGATTACGGAAAGTCTGAGAGCTGGATGAAGACCGCATGACCCGACAGCCCTTGGTTAGAGACCTTGCAAGAAGTGGCTTTGAATCGATGTCAGTGGTGTTATTGTTTTCAGTTTCCATACAGACTGTTGTAATGAGTTTCTGGATGTGTAGGCATCTCGAAACGGCTGTGGTAGGATGGCAATAAATTCCCAGTCCACTTTTGTTCAAAATAAACCTTTCAAATTAATTATGGCTGTACAGCAGCGAAGCATCAGTGTTGAACACTGATGTCATGCTTTCGACGATGAGTAGGCACCCAACAGTGAAACAGTTAGAAGAGAGTGTTGATACATGCTGATAAATGCGTACAACTTCGGGATCTGCCAGACTCCCAGCTGCTAAGTGAGTTGTCCTCACCATATGCGGCTGGGAAGTGAAGAGGGAAATAACCGCGGAAGAATGCATCGTCAGAATCCTTGCAATTATTCCAAAACGAGCGGCTGATCCACGCCATCGGTAAACACAAACAATGTGATCAATTGGAGTCAATGGCTGGCACGCTGTTGATGAGCCAGGTGACTGTCTAAAAAGTCTGCGATTAGGAGAGCCTAAGAAGTTCACCACTATCTGTATGTAACGAGTCCAAAGAAAAAATCGACTGCTTGAGTGAGTATCAACTGCCCTAATATGTCCAACTCATGCACTTAGATCCCCAGTAACCACGAGATTTCAGTCCGTACTGTTATAGCACTCAAAAGGTCATACAAGTTGCCTTTGGTGGTATCAGGGTTGCAGTCGTTCGAAGCATGAACAGATATGAAAACAAAGACCAGCTTCCCGCTTGTGAGACTACTTCACAGGCTATTTTCCAGGCGATAACCAAAGAGTATCTAGTCAAATAAAAACCCAGGTAACCTGGGACGACGCTGACTCCTGTACACCCTGTCACAGCGGTATCTGGATCACCAGAGGTACCAGGTCAGAAAATAGTACAGCAGGGCGACATAATAAACAAAATGGTTATGCCTTGATCTTGAATTTTCGTTTCCGAGGCACAGCACACGCCGATTCCAAGCGAGTCCAGTGCTCCAACCTCCATCCTGGAGAACCAGGGGAACGCGTTCGTCAGAACCGTAACCGTTGACCAAACTAGCATGCGAGAGTGGAGGGTTGCGCGGACACTACAGAGGGTCAAGGAAGCACAAAAACTCGTTCAGCTGTAACACTTTCGGTGCCTAACTGCCATTCCACCAGAGGGAGGCACGAGGGCTAGCGTACTGTCAGGTTGACCAAGCCTAGACAGAGGAAGTCGAGAGGCAGAGGTCGGGTTCGACTGAACGGAGGCATCAAGAGACCACCACCTTTTGGCCAGCGATTAGGTGACTAACACAGGTGTGAGGTGATTGCCCAAACCTCTCTGACTGAAATGACCGGCGGCTATCGGTGGTTTTTGAATTTGCGATATCTGACCGGAAAGATTAATACAAAGTGAGTGTAATAATAACAATTATCGACCCTCTTCGGGTGCACGGCTGCCGAGGCACCCGTATGGAGCACGACGGTTGAGGTACTGCCAGGTAGCCTAAGCCTAGACAGGAGTGTTCGAACCACGGAGCGCCCCATCCACTGAACCATCTCGAGCCCGTTTTGTCGCCTTAAAAGGCG